ATATATATATATATATATAAGCCGTAGCAAAAATTTGGGAAAAACTAGAAAAAGAAAATAACAACACTCTCAAATCCTTCATCATTATTGCAAAAATTTGTTGGACCACTTCATGTGTCATGCCTTAGTTGCATAAGGCCAATCAATATTTACAAAGCATACAAGGCCTTAAACAGGTTCAGGTATAATGCCTATAGCAAAACTAATTTCTTCAGGATTAATTTCTTTTTCCATTGAATATAATAATTAATTCAAATAGAATGGATCACTCTATTCATTATGTGAAATTCTCAGTCCTAATAATTTAATACTATCACGAATGCAAGTATTTTTAATATAAAAATATTTCAAAATTTTTACATTAAGGTGAGAGATATAAAATAAAATAAAATCTTATTTAACAATATAAGTATGTACTTTAAAAAATTGGGGTGTGACCATAACAATAAGTGCAGATATACGATGAAATGGATGCTAAAGTATTCTTATTACCTTAATATTCAGAGAATAGTTACTATAAAGTATTCTTATTACCTTAATATTCAGAGAATAGTTACTATATATCTGTCATGAATAGTTTTTTCAGGTATCTATGGAGTTTGTTCTCCATTGTCACTCTCAGTCAACTCATTTGGTACAGAAGAATATTTAAATTAATGCTAAACTTGGAAAGCATTTGATAACAATACCACCACGGAACTATCTTTAAAGCAAGTTGAAAGAATGTTATTTCGTACTCCTACATATATAAGCTCATGCTATATATAATTATATATATTACCACAACGCAACTCACCCTATTAATAATATTCAATTCTATTGCATCAAAACAAACTATCTATAACCAAAACTTAACGTGGGCTTTAGCTTATATCTACAAAAAGTGGATAATAGTGATTCTTTTAAGAATTTATAGTTATAAGAACGTCATTTTTTTTCTCTCATTTTATGTATAAAAAATAACTAAAGTTCATAAGAGTGTGTTATTTAACCAAATTATAAAAGGGTTTAAGTTTTGACATTTGATATGAAAAATATTAAATTGAGAGAAAAATATCTATTTCATATACACTTATAATTCCCAAACTTACCGACTAGTCGAACCGGAATTAGTGACATCTAAACACCAAATTCAAAGCTACCATTGAACCAAGTAATTCCATGTTATTATGTTTAATTAAATATAATATATATATA